ATGGAGGCTCAAGGAGGTGAAATTCTTTGGGCAAAACCACACAGCGGAAACGGGCAGTGCCCAAATCTGGGGTCAGGCCGTGTGCTTTCAGCCAGCACTGAAGCTCAGGGCTTCGCACCCTGGCATCACTGGTCACGGGCTCTTCCCTGGCAGGCCTAAGTTCTGGACAGGGCTTCTGTGAGGGTGACACTACTTTGGGGCCCTTCTCTGCACTGCAGGCCCCCTGCCCTGTTCCCAGCTTGGGCTAAGGGTGCCCCACCAGCCCACAGCACTCCGTGGGTGCCTCGGGAGGTCCCCGGCCCATCTCCGTCTTGATGCACAACTGCACAGCCCGCCCCCATGTAAAGACCGCCTTGGTCCTTGCTGCCCTTCCCTTGTCCACCCGGCATTTGCATGACCCTGGTCTTTCTTCTCCTGTTAAAAGGAGCTAAAGGCACATCATAGGGTGGGGTGAGGGTCCCCTAGCATTTGGGGTACAAAGGAAGAACGCATTCCAGGCTCTCAGAACATGGCGTGGAAAGCGATGACCTGCTTCTTACTCCTGCGGCATGTCCCTCTCCCTACTTCTCAGATGAGGGAACTGAGGCTGCAGGAGGGGAAGTGAGCTGCCCAAGGTCACACAGCTAGGAAGATGCGGGGCCTGTTCCCACCACTCGCTCCACTGCCTTGCACCACTGAGTCACCAACCAGCTACCGCCCTGACCCAAAGTCAGGAGAGAGAGCATCACCGCGGGGCTAAGTGGTGCCTCCATCAGCAGGGCGGTGCGTCAGGGTGGGGAGAACCAGGGAGAGCCAGAGGGATGCAGGAGACATCTGCAGCCTCCACATCCAGGGAAGGAGTCTGGGGGCTGCCTCCCTTTCGGGGACTAGGCCACCTGCAGAGGGAAGTGCCAGTGCCCAGAGCCTACAGGCGATGACTGAGAGCCTGCTCGGAGAGCAGAGAGCGTCAGGCCAGGATCAGAGAGAACCCAGGACTCCCCGCACCAGCCCACCCGCAGGGGCCAACCTTAACCTCCATCCTTAATGTAAATCCCATTCTGGGCCTCAGGGTGGTGTGAGCAGTCAGTGAGCAGATGCTTGTGGAAGACCCAGCCCAGAATAGCCTCTCAGTAAATAGTTGAGAAACAACACTGGGTCCATTCGCAGAGCCACAGAGCTGGTCACTGCAGAGACAAAGAGGTCGCTCTGGGCAGTGAGTGCCTGCTCTGGCGGCTCTCAGGGCCACCCCTCCACTTCCGGGGGGAGGGGGAGCCAGGTTTGGGGGAGTGGAGGTACCTAGCCCCTTCTGGCAGCAGCTGATAATGCCCGGCTGTCCTGCTGCCCTCCATGGGGGGTGGCAAGACTTCAGTCACCACAGCAAAGCACCGCTTGCTGCATGGGGTGGGACCAGCGGAGGCGAGGAGTGTCCTTTCCCCTCCGATAAGTAAATAAAGCCAAACCCTCACAGCCCCGCGGAGCTGGCTCCCCAGCCTGATAAGGGGCGGGTGGGCGCTGCTGCTCGGCTCCAGGACCCGCAGCTGCCAGCTATCAGCCTTCTCATCGCGCTCCCAGCTGGAAGAGAATTTAATCCACCGGGTTCCTCTCCACATACCCAGGGACTCCTTTTGATGTTCCTCTTTATCTCCCTTCCCAACAAAATTGCCCCTCATCAGCTCCAAGAGGGCTTCCTGCCTCTCTGCCTCCCTCCCTCCCATCTCACCCCACCAAGCAGCCCCTGCAGGGCCTGGCAGTGAGGGAGGGCCAGGGTGGGAGGAGGCCCAGCCAGGCTTGGGACCACAGGGCTGGGCCCTCCACCACCCCCACTTCCCTACCCTTAGCCTTGCTCCCTGACCTTGGGAGAGGTGCCCTGTGCAGGGTGGGGGCGGGGAGCCCACAGTGCTCTCCTTAGGGATGTGGAGCAGCGCTTTGCAGTGGGAGGGGCACTGGAGAGGCCAGGAGAGGGTGATTAAGAACTTAGACTGCAGGTCGACTCCTTTGATGGCAGCTGTGCGGCTTGAACAAGTTACCCTCTAGCCGAGGCAGGCTGAGCATTTGAGGGGACTTAGCCAGAAAGTGGCTCTGGGGTCTCAGGACAGCCCTGCGAGGGTCCTGCAGCTGCAGTGTCAGGCCCCATCCGGTGAGAGACCTCCCGGGAAGCCCAATGGGGCAGGAAACCCAGCGCTCAGGCCTCGCCAGGTGCACAAGCGGAATCTACACTAGCTCAGTACCCGCTCTGCCTGTGCACGTGATCACAGCTCCAGCACTACCACCTCCCCCACCCCCCCACCCCCCCAAGGTTTTAACTCAGCTTTCTCTCTCCAGCTGCTCAGCCACCATATCTGTCTGACTGATCCTCTTTGCTACTCTCAGCCTTGCTCCTTCCCCAGCCTTGCTCCATCCTGGTGATTCTCAAACTTGAGCGTGTATCAGAACACATGGAGGGCTCATTAAAACAGCACTGGGGCCCTAGCCAGTTTGGCTCAGTGGATAGAGCGTCAGTCTGCGGATCAAAGGGTCCTGGGTTCAATTCCAGTCAAGGGCACATGCCTTGGTTGCAGGCTCCTCCCCGGCCTGAGCCCTGATCGGCTCTTGCAGGAGGCAACCAATCAAGATATATCCATCTTTCCCTTTCTCTTCCACTTTCCTTAAATATCAATGGAAAAATATCCTCAGGAGAGGATTAACAAAACACCACCAACAACAAAAAAAAAGCACTGGGCCCCCCCCCCCTCTAGGCTTTCTAATTCAATAGAACTGGGCGGTGGCCCAAACATTTGCATTACTGACAAGTTCCTAGGTGATGCTGATGGGAAGGATCCCGGTACCACCCTCAGAGAACCACTGGTCTGCCCTAGGAGCTCTCACCCTTCCTGGGATGCACAGTAGAATGAACAATCTGGAGAGGGTTACGAAATCCTGATGTCTGGTTGCTTTCTGCCTTTCCCACCCCACAGGTCTGATTTCCTTGGTCTGAGGTACCGCCTAGGCAAGGGGATAGTTTAGAGTCCCCAGGCGATTTTGATGTGTGGCCGGTGGAGAACTTCCACTCTGCCTCTCCCCTGCTCATCCCTCTGCATCCCTGTGTATAGTGTCTTTCCAACCCTGGCTGTGCAATGTGGTGCCTTCGGGAGCATCGGGAAAAACGCAGCTGTCGGGGCTCCACCCTGAGGGACTGTGACGCAGTGGCCCTGGGCATCCGTGTTTCTTTGCAGAGCCCGCTGGCAACTCTGTCATGCAGCCAGATGAGAAGGGCTGCCCTGGTGTGGCTCACTCGTGGCTGCCAAGTTCGCCTTCCTCCTTTGACCTCCGCTGCTCTAGAGAGCATGGAGCACTCCCCATTGCCTGTGAAAGCGATGCGAAAGCCCTCAAGATGGTACCTGCGGTGGGACTTCGGGAGGCCCACAACGCCTCCCATTATCCCAGCAATCAGGCCAGCTTCCCTGCAGGGACCCTTTGCAAATCAGCTCACCTGTGGGACTCATCATTAAGTATTCACTCCCAGCTCCATGCCTGTGCTTAGGCCAGTGGTTCTCAAAAGGTGGTCTCAGACCAGCAGCATAACCGCATCACCTGGAACTTGTTAGAAATGCAATTTACAGGCCCCAACCCAGACCTACTGAATCCGTTTTCCTGGGGGAGGGCAACAATCTAGTTTAACAAAGCCCCCAGGAGGTTCTGATATACCTTAAGGACTAAGAACGTGCTCAAAACCACTTCCTGCACCGGCATCCCTTCTCTGAGTCCATTTTCCTTTCATTCGTTCCTGAAGCCAGTTCAGAACCCCCTGCTCAGGGCAGCCTCCCTGCCGGGCCACCCGCTGGCGGTCTCTCCCCCGAGTGCTCAGCGTTACCGGCTCAGTTTGCTCTGCTAACTCCTATTGCACTGGAGCTGCATTTGGGAGGCGCCCACATCAGGCCCCGACTCCACTTCTTTTGGCCCGAGGGCACCCCAGCCTGGAGCTTATCCTCGCTGTGCCATAGGCCCCTGTGCAGCCTTGGTTGGCACCTTCAACGTCTCTGAGCCTCGTTTCCCCTGGAGAGGTTTCCAAGCTCCAGCATTCTTTCGTCTCCACCCAGTGGCCTGTGGGAAGAGGACGCACGGAGGACTGGGTGAGGAAAGACTGCTGAAGCCCCATCACTCTCCCAGCACCTACTGCGTGCCTGCTCCCACGGGGGTGTACAGTGCCTGAGGCCTGGTCTGTGGCCTCAAGCGGCTCCTGACATTCCACAGTAACCACAGATCAGAGCCTGGCACGGAGTCGGTGCCCAGTGCATGTGTGCTGTGTTATTGTTGTTAATATCATCATCTATTTGTGCAGTTATGGAAGAATCTCCAAGACATAGCTTTAAGTAAAAAGAAAAAACCCCGACATAGAGCAATGTGCATAGTGTGCTCCCGTTTGTGTCCAAACACACGGTGTCCTGGGAAGGAGACCCCAGGCTGGGTGTGGTGAGGCCTGGGGAAGGCTCTCCACGGCCGGGGCAATGGGGAATGGAAGATGGCTGTGTGCCTGGCCACTTCTGAATGGTGTGAATGTTCTCCATGTCTGTACTTACCGTGTCTCTAACATTTTCTATGTTAGGACATTTAAAACACGACAGTGTGTGGGGTCATTTCCTACAGGGGTTTTGTCCAGGCTCCTGGGAGCAGGACATAGGGACCTGGCCCTTCCTCTCCCAGCCTCCACCACAGCCCTGCCACCCGCTCTGGGTGTGGACTCTGAGCTCAGGGAGACAGGAGCTCAGTCCTGCCTCCCCCTTTGTGGCCTTGTACCTCTTCCTCTGTGTCCCTCCCCTCCTCTGGGTGTGGGGCTGCGTAGACACTCCCAGAGGCTGTGGCCCCTCGGGCAGAGGGGGCTGCTCCCCTGGAGCAGGTGTGTTCCTGGGGTCCCTCTTGGCCCCTCTCCTTTTCCCTGACCTTGGATCTCACCATCTTTTCTCTCTGGTTCCTTCCTCCTCTCCATACCTCTCTGGCTCCTCCTCTGGCTCCATATCCTTTGACTGGCTGACCCCCACTGATAGAACCTGGTAAGTGAGCCCGGGCAGGGGGCCCACAGGGGGTATTGCTCTACCTGCTGGGGCACTGCTCGGCCTGCCCCCACCCTCTCAGGCCTCCGGGTGCTGGGGTGGAGGGCCCAGGTCCAGGGGAGGGAGAAGTGTGGTGTCACCTGCTCAGAGCTGTCACACTCCGCCAGCTTTGGCTATTAGTGCCCCTTCGGGCATTTAATTGATCCCCTCCACCTGACGGATGGCTTCCACGCCAGGGACAACTGGAAACTGCACAGCCCGACAGGCCCAGGGGAGCGTCGCCTGCACAGGCTGTGGGAGCCACCCCAGGCTGGGGGCTCTGGAGGCCCTGCTGCTTGCCTGGACCCCAAGTTGGCAGGAGATGCTCTCCTTCCACCTCCCCCTTCAAACTCACTGAACCAGTGACAGGTCCCAGGCCTGCTTCCCGGCTCTCAGAAAAGGCTCAGTGAAGAAGTGCCCTTGTTTTACTAATTTGTAGTTCTAAATGGAAGCGACTTAAGAGACTGATGGGTAAATGCTAACAAGCATTCATTCTGCAAACGTACTTGCGCATCTGCGAGACAGCCCCCGAGGCTGAGAACCTGGGCCTCCCAGGCTTTGTGGAGGGTCTCGTTCCTGGATGAACTCCTGGGCCTCATTTCCAGGCTTTGGGGTTGCTTGGCTGCCCCCTTCTCAGCAGGAACAGGTTCCCAGGGAGCCCCCCACCATCCCTGGGCAACCAAGAAGAAAGGCATGCTTCCCTTTGCAGCCCCAGTGCCACACACATGTGCACAGGGGGACCTGCCGGGCATCTGCAGCCTGGGGCAGGAGAGGCTCCTGACCGGTTGGTTACAAACCACATGCACCTGCCCAGGTTGAAGGGGGCTTGTTTGGGGGTAATTGCCCCTTTTGCGCAGGAGGTGGAAGAGGTTGAATCCCTTTCCGAGCAGGCCAGACTCGGGCTGTGTCTCCCACCGTCAGCGGTGGTCCCCCTCCTGATCTGGGGACCTGGTCACATGGAGACGTCACACACTTTGTGTGAGGATGAGCCAAGCAGCATCGGAGGGCTCCGTGAGCCCGAGCCTGGTTAGGATGATCAGAAACACCTAGCTGAGAGGGAGCACGCCCCACACCTGAAACCAAGCAGCTGGGCCTTAGCGGGACCTGCAAAGGGTGTGGCAGCTCTGGCTGGCTGAGATCCAGTGTCCTGCTGGCCACAGTGTGGGGCACACGGGGTCCACTTTGCCACTCAGCCTATGGGATTACTCCTGCTCCACGTGTAAGCAAGCCAGTGTTCTCCTGATCAGCACGTTTCAGAGAGAGGATGGGAAAAGCAGGGTCCTGCTGTCTCTTGTGCCCTCTCCTGTCCAGGCTTACCATAGGCACTTGCTTCTCTCCCCTCCCGCTGGCCGTCCCTCCATTGCCCTGTGGGGCTCACGGCTGGAAGGTCCCTCTCCACTTGGGGTCACTGGGACAGGGTAAAAGGAGCAGGAGACGGAAAATGAACCAAACCACCTGCAAGGGTTGTTGTGGGCATCCAACGGGGTGATGAAGGGAAAGGCCAGAGGAGATTCCCAAAGGGCCTAGACAGGGCAGGAGGGGGTCAGGGAGCTGGGCCAGGGTCATTCAGTGGAGGCCTGGGACCCAGGGGGCGGGGGCCAGGTGCTGGGTCCCAGGAAGGGGCCTGGGGATTCCTGCCCCATCCACCTCCCGCACCAAAGCAGCTCTGCCCCTCCAGCCGCACCTGGCCTTGGCCTCCTGCGCCTTCTGACTGGTTTCTCCTCATTCTTAACCCCAGGGCCTGAACAGCATGTTCGAGGTGTACCTGGTGGGGAACAACTCCCACCACTTCATCATCTCCCCCACCTCCGTCCAAGGGAAGGCGGACATTCGCATCCGGGTGGCCATCCCCCTGGACTACGAGACCGTGGAGCGCTACGACTTCGACGTAAGGCCCCTTTCACTATCTTCTTGGCCGGGTGGGGGGATTTCAGGTGACGTGGGGGTGGGAGGTTGATGCCATCCCCTTAAATTCCACCTCTTCTCACCCTTCCCTATGGATCTGACTCACTGAGCTGTGGCAGGGGCTGGGCTGAGCCTTCCCTTCTCAAGGATAAGGAAACGTCCAGGAATTGAGTGGAAGTTGCCCAGGCACCGTCAACACCTCAGAAACCCATCGGGAGCTCTCCTGTCCAGACCCTGCCAGCCCAGCCCTCATCAGCTGCTCCCTCCTAGCAGAATCAGAGGACACTCTAGCCTGTGACCACTGATGGGGGGACTCCCAGTCCCCACTCCTGGGATGGGCAGTGACTCTGACAGGTGGTCTGGGTTGGGACCAGCAAAGGCCCCAGGGGGACTTAGGGGGACTTACGGGGACGAAGGCTCCGGAAGCACGTGGGAGCTCACCAGGGCCTTGCTCTGCACACGCAGCTCTTTGCCAATGAGAGTGTGCCCGACCACGTGGGCTATGCCAAGGTGAAGATCGCCCTCATCAACGAGAATGACAACCGGCCCATCTTCAGCCAGCCGCTGTACAACGTCAGCTTGTACGAGAACGTCACCGTGGGGACCTCCGTGCTGACCGTGCTGGTGAGTCCCCCTCTCCTCCAGGGCCGCTGAGTGCTGGGGTCAACCACGGGGGAGCAGCCAGAGGGAGTCTGGGCAGTCAAGGAAGGGGGTGCCCCGGGCTGTCAGAGGGGTGGGCATTGATGTGTGAAAGCATCTGGACTCTCTGGATGGGGCTCCCTTGGCCGGCACGCCATGTGGAGAAGGGACCAGCCTGAGGGACGACGAGATGGGGCCGCGGAGATTTGGTTTCTGCCTTGTCTGTGAGAGGGACGGCACCTGGTGGGCCAGGAGCCCTGGAAGGTCCTCTCATGGGAAGAGGCGCCAGCGTCTCTGAGGAGGGTGCCCCTCCCTCTCCCTCTCCGAGCACAGGCTCCAGGGAAGAATGGGCTGCTCCAGGGCACTTGGCACTCCCAGCTGCCCTCGGTTTGGACTTTGATAAGGGCCCCTCCCAGTGTCCATGTGTATCAGTCAGTACTTTTGGTTTCAAGAGACAGAAACGTGTTTCAAGCAGAAAAAGGATCGGCTCATGTAACTCAAAAGTAGAAGCGATTTCAGGCCGGGCTGCGTCCTGGCACTCGGCTGAGCAGGAATCTGACTTCAGCGCCAGGCTGTGTGTTTTCCTGATGGCAGAGAGGGACACCGGCGCCCTAGGCTTACTTCTTACAACTTATCAACCCTCCTGGGGAGCTCTTATTTTTCAGTAGTTCCAGCACAAGTCCCAGAGCTGGTTTCCAGTGACCCAGCCTGTGGGGCCGTCCTGGAGGACGTACTAGAGATGGGTCCCACTCACCATTGTGGAGCCAGGGGTTGGGGTCGGCCCATCCAGATTACAGGGCATGGGCTGGAGACAGGGAGGGGCTATTTCAGAGGATGCTCTGTTATAGGAAGAAAGAGGATCGATTGCTGAGCAGATCACAGTGGTAGCTGTGTGTTCCACAAGCTCAGGGTCTTGCCCAAGTAGGTGGTCAGTAAACGTTGTGGAGTTTCACTCACTGCTACCCCGCCCTGCCCACTCTGAGACCCCCAGCGTCCTCGCTCCTATTTCTTGCTCCATCCTCATGGCAAACAGAGACGTTGCCTGCTGATCCCAGGCCCCCTACTCCAAAGTGTGTTTACTCTACAGACAGATGGTATGAAACTGTATTGAGCCCCTAGGCCCTTTCCATCTGACAGTTATTAATATTTCAAACAGATGTTTAGCTAGGCAGGCCGTCAGACGTAAACAATAAGTCTGCTGTGGCTGCTTGCTTCCCCCTGCTTCCCCAGCCCCTGGCTTCGCCGGCTTTCGCAAGGTGCTCCTTGCAATCAGTCACCTGGTGCCGGAGGCCCCATGGACCCTCCTGCAGCCCCTAGGGCCTGGGCCTTCTGTATGCAAAGAAAGTATCTTCAGCCCTCCAGCCACCTTTGAATGTCAGGGTGAAGGACACCTAAGCAGTCTGTGCTGGGAGGATCTCATAGGGAGAGGAGGCCCCACCCCCATAGGCCTGGGACCATGTGGCAAAGAATTTAAGTTTTAGCTCCAGGCTTGGAGGGGGCCTGGGGATTCCTTCCTGGTTTTCTTGCTGGGGACATGGGGTCTCCACTTTGCAGTCCCAAATTAACTGTGGCCCTGAGGAAGGGTTGAGGGGGCCCAGGGAGCAGGGGTGGGGTGTGTGGGAAGGCGCACTTGGCTGGTGGCCAGCTGCTGGTGCCAAGGACGATGTGTCAGGCCGACCCCATCCGGGGCGGGCACTGGAGAGTAGGTCCTCACACTGGGTTTCCTCAAGCGCTGGAGCAGCTTCTGAACCTGCGTGGATCCCTGCTGGGTGCCAGGACCCCTTCTCCAGTTCCTCTCCAGGCCCCTGGGCATGTGTCACAGATGAGTTTCACTCTAAGGCTGCCTGAGGGTCTCTGCTCAGGGCTGGCTCATCGGGCCAGCCTCCAGTCCTGTCTGTCCAGCTGGGCCCCCTCCTTCTCAGCCTCCAGCCCAGCGTTTGTTGAATTGTGCAGACACAAGGGAACAGTTCAGTCCATTGATAAGCTCTAGCACCGGGGCTGTGCACCTAAAGGGGCTCAGGACTGAAAGTGGACAGTGTTTGGGCCCCGTCTCCCTGCCTTTGCTGCACGCAGGTCTATCCAGGTCACCGCTAAGCCTCTATTTCCTCATATGCAAAATGGGCATGAGATACCACCACCCCCAAGGCTGCTGTCGAGATGTGAAAACATCGCCTGGGTAACCCCACCATCATCCCCTCAGCTCCCCAGGTGCTCCAGAGCTCCGCTAAGCCTCTATTTCCTCATATGCAAAATGGGCATGAGATACCACCACCCCCAAGGCTGCTGTCGAGATGTGAAAACATCGCCTGGGTAACCCCACCATCATCCCCTCAGCTCCCCAGGTGCTTCCAGAGCTCCTGGCAGCCGCAAGTTTTGTGGCCACACCATGCACACCCACCACCCTGCTCTCCCCTCCCCCACCCTGCCATTCTCTGCTCAGCCCCTGGGTCAGTCCCACCGCCCCACCTCCTTTGCTGTGGGAGGGGCTGGAGTTGCAGCGGCTGCTCAGGGACTGTGAAATCCCTTCTCCTTGACCTTTACTGGGATGTTATTAAAATGTTTCATGGGCAGTTGTGTCAGGAAAAAATTATGAAGAAAGGGAAATGTTTTAATTTGCACTAAAGGCTGGGCAGAGCCTGCTGTGAGGGGGCTCCCCAATCCCCACCCTGGCATGGCCTGTTTCTGTGGGCCATTGCCTAGATTGGGGCTCATTGCCTAGTTTCATAGTGGCTCAGGGAGCCAGACTGTGAGGGGGCTGTCACCTCCGGCCTGGGCGTCCCAGCTGGGGCGGAAGGGCTGGACTTCCTCACCTCCCCACTCCCTGGAAGCAGGAATCCCAAGGCAGCCGGAGCTGTCTTTATTAGGAAAGGCCTCCTGGAAGGAGGCATGCAGGACCTCTGATGTCAGTGGGAGCCGTTCCTCTGACAGGCGACCACACAGGGGAGAGATGTGCGAGGGCGCGGATACCCACATGGGTGGGGGTGGGCATGTAAAGTATGTTTGTGGGGGCTGTGTGTGTGCACAGGCATGCCCTTGTGTCTGGGCATGTACCTGTATGTGCAACTACATGCATTCGGGGGTATGTGCATATGATCCACACATCTGTGTGCATGCAGGCTCCTGTGTGGTGTTGGTGGCTCCCCATCCTCTAAGCTGGATGGTCTGTTCTCCTCTGATATCCCAAGGCTGCTCTGATTCCCACCTTCCAGTCCTGCCTTCTGGCCTGACAACAGGAGTTGGGTGGGAAGACCATGAGGCATCTTCCTGGGATTCTGCTGGTCTTGGGGCACCAATTGGGACCTGGGGCCTATCAGGGTTTGTGGGTGCCATTGGACAGTAGAAGAGCAATCAAACCATTCATTTATTTTTAAAAAAATGTTTGAATGCCTTGGGCACATGACCTGAGGACACAATGGTGATGTGAGTCTTGCCCTCGTGAAGTTTACAGTTTCCAAGAAAGCCTGATGCTCATACTAAAAAACTGAATTTTTATGTTAAGTGTTACTTGCTATGATGGACAGATCAGGGAGCCATGAATATCTACAGGGCACCTGGCCTTGACTGGGGTCAGGGAAGGCTTCCCTGAGGAATGGCAATTGAGCAGGCATGAACAGGGGGCCGCAGAAGGGAAGCACATTGGAGAAAGAGGGAATAGCACGTGCAAAGGCCCTGTGGCTGGAATGTGGTGAGAGGATATGCTGGGCAGGGAGGTGGAGTCCTGCTCTTATGAGGCAGATGGGACTCAATGACCTCTCTTCCTCCTGAGTTGCCACCTACCCCACTGGGCTGCTGTTTGGATAGCGGAGAAGTCCTGTATAAATCGTCCACACTCACTTACCGATTTCATCCTGGCAGCCTATGGTGGGCATTTGGGAAACAGCTGGCACAGGTTGTACTTGGGATGTGCAAGGAGCCAGCCTGGCCCCCTGCAGTATAGAGCTCACGTCCCCAGATTTATTAGTTCTGTGTCGCTGGGGCAGCAAGAGAGGGATGCTGAGGCAGAGTAGGATCCAAGAGGGAGGTTCCTCCTGGGGCAGGTCTTACTGTATATACCCCAAGACCTTTTCTCCCCGCTCCAGAGCTAGGGCACAGCAGGAATGGGCAGGAGATGGACTGTCAGACCACACAGGGTTCTTCTCCGGGCAGAGGAGCCAAGACCTTTTCTCCCCGCTCCAGAGCTAGGGCACAGACCACACAGGGTTCTTCTCCGGGCAGAGGAATCAAAGCAAGAAGGAGAGGCATTTAAGGGCCCTGACTGGGCAGGTGTGGGCCCCAGCACCACTGCTCATGGTTTGCTCGGCCCAGGGGCAAGTCAGAGTGGGAGCTGGAAGGAACGGCTCCTCTCCCCCACCCACCCCCATGCCCCTCTCCCGGCCTATCCTTGGAAGGCTGGCGGCACCTTGGACAGGGTCATCCTTCTCGGGAACTTGGTTTCTTCCCTGAAGTGGGAAAGGCTGTGCCTGCCCAGCCCACGTGGCTGGATTGTCGGGAGACCCCATTGTGGTGATGTGGCTGGGCCTGGGGAGGAGATGTGTGGGAATACGGATGGGGCAAGGTGGGTTTGCAGTTGTTCTTATGGAAAAACATACAATAACAAATGAATAATCATATAGAATAAATTATGTCTCAAGTACTCACATCTGTAAACCTACTTTTGTGCCCCCCACCTGCCTGCAGTTGAGGCTGCCAGACTGAAAGGGTGGTTTTTCTTATCAGTGGCCTTGAAGGGCCCCAGCCCGGCTGCCCGCCACCCTCCACCCTGTGTGCAAGCCCAGCTCTGCTGAGGTGCGAGCCCCACAGGCCACCGCGCACGTTCCTCTGCGGCCCGGGGAGATGCCCTCATGGGATCCTGTCTGGGAGGTGGTGAGAACTGAGTGGGACGTCACGCAGAGGCAGAGTAGGATCCAACACACTCAGTAGGAAACACTCAGAAAGTTTCAGCCGGTCACGCGAACCTCCTGGCTGAGACTTCGTGGGGTGGGGGC